GATCCAGGGACTCCAGGATCATGACCTGAGCCAAAGGCAGTCGCTTAACCAACTGAGCCACCCAGGCGCCCCACCCCAGGGATTCTTTCCAGGCCCAGACCCTCAGAGAAGGTAGGGAACTACTATATCCGTGTTTTCAGAGAAATAGGAAAGATCTTGTTGGAGAATGGAAGGGAAGGATGAATTGGGTAAATGCATTCAGACTAGGTACACCCAAGGGACAAACCAAACAAATTAAAGTGGGGCAAGGAAGAAGGATGCACAGCAGTCATCAACTCCTAGTGGCGAAGAGCTTGGTAAAGATGTATTAGTACATTATTACCTTATATTTAAGTAAACGTTATACACACAGTGCACATACCCTGTTTACTGCTCTCATTATCTAATTAGTGTTTCTCAATTGAGAAATATATTGGAGGGACCTCTTTTAAAGGAAAAACGTTCTCTTAGACTCAAGCATTTATGTAAATTCTTTTTATAATATTTCTTAAATGTAAACAAACATAAAACGAAATAGAAACTGCTGTTCATAACGCTCTTATACAAATTTAACATCAAAGTAAATTTACAAATTGTGCACAAATAAAAAAATGTTAATTTAATGTGGTACATGATGTTTACTGAGACAAAACTGCTCTTAGAAGCCTGAACAAGCTACTGACTGGCCAGCGTGTGTTCTTGGCTTTCAACATGCTTGTATGTGAGTCTTGTGAGGACCCTGCTTTTCCATCACTTTCCTTTTCCAAACTACCAATCTTCATCTGTATAGTAAGCCGTGAAGTAGGAGGTACACCTAATTTATTTTCTTACTAGCTCATGACAGTTAAAGTAGTATTGTTGCCAACTTGTCAAATACATGTCCTAATTATGTCCTAATTAGTTACCATTGTCATCCAGATACTCCAGGATATGCTTAAAATTAAATGTAAAAGTAAAACATACTTGTAAAAAACTCGCAGACTCTGAGTATCTACCTTATTATGCAGCACTTGACTCTTGTTAGTGGGGACTAAGCCATTGCCCATTCAGGCTCACTAGGAATGGTGCATTGGGGACCACAAGTCAAACCATCATCACCCTCACATTCATGATATTTAAAATAAACGAAAGAAGAGAGGCACACTCAACAGTCAGGTAACCAAATAACTGAAGCAAGACCATATATACATTTTAAAGAAGTGGTTGAGTTGTTTTCATCATAAGTTGCATTGGTAGGACATGGCACAGAGATTAAGACTGTTTAGGGCTTGTGTGTGACAACTCCCCATTTCTCCCAGCCTCCTTTCTCCTTCCCTTCCTCCTGGGTTCTTTCACCTTTCCTCTTTTTTGCACCTAAGTTTTATGTTTCCCTCAAAGTTCAATGTAATGAGTTTTTCCATAAAGCTAAATATATTTAATGTTTTTATTAAGAGATTATGCCCTCATTATTTTATATGAAAATGTGCTTCCTTTTATAAACTAGTAGCAGTTTAAAAAATTGTCTTCATTTGGCGAAATAAGAAATTGGAAATCTTGTGTTTTCCTCCAAATATTAAAAAAATTTTTTTACACGTCCAATATCTGCAACCACTTGTCTGGAAAGCAGAGAAAAGAGAACGAGACAGGAGGATAGAATGGTATGTGACACCTAGTAAGTTGACTTAAGTTGCACAAGTTAAGCGCCATAATGCACTTTCTACTGGAGCACTGACAGGAATATGCAAGACTCATTGGGAGTCAGGGAAGGCTTCACAGAGGAGGTAACTTTTGAGCTGGGGCTTTAAGGATTAGCAGGGGAGAACCCGCAGGGCATTCCAAGCAGAATGCATAATGCGACCAAGAGCACAGAGCACAAAAGAGCACTACGTGTCTAGCAGCTCTGAGTAGCCTGGTGGCTGTTATGTAGAGTTCTCAGGGTTAGAAGATCAAGGGTGAGGCAGGGACTATTTTTTTTCTTACTTGGCTCATTTCCCCTACAGCTCATTGCACAGTGCTGGGCACACACACTGCAGGAGCTCAATATAAATAAATACTCATTGAATTGGGACAGGGTGGTCGAGTACGCTGGGAACCAGGGCATCTGGATTCTTTCTCACGCACTCGCAGTGTGACCTTGGCCAAGTCCCTTTTCTCAGGGCTGCCGCTTGCTGCTTATTAATCAGCCGTGGGTGAAAAAACAGAGGTGCTTGGCCTGAAGCTCAGGGCCTTTCCAGCGCCAGGAAGCCCAGGTTCGACGCGTGGAGGGCGGGCGGGCGGAGGTTCAATTCCTCCTCCGCTCCAGCAGGGGGCACAGGGAGTGGCTTCCCAACGCCTTTCTCCTCCCGGCCGGCGCCGGCGGATTGCAGCAGTAGCGAGTGGCGAGCGCGGTGGGCGGGCCGGGCGGTGGCGGCGCTGGCGGCGGCGCTGCGCTGCGCTGCACTGACTGGGCTGGGCCGGGCAGCGGCCGCGACTCAGACGGCTGCCGAGGCCACTGAGGCGCTGACCGGGTGGCCAGTCCGCTGCTGTGCCCTCTAGCAGCCCCTTAGCGCGGCCGGCATTGCCCCGGCAGCATCCGGCCACAGCGCTCAGCCTGCTAGTGAGCTGCGGTGGGCACACCCCGGCTCGGCGGCGGCGGCGGCGGCGGACAGGTTAGAGTGGGGGAAGGGGCAGGCGCGGGAGCAGCCCAGGGCCAGAGAGGGAGTCCAAAGCCAGGCGGTCTCCAGCCATGTCCGACGAGACGTCGGCCACCACTTCGTACGAGAAGTTTCTAACCCCCGAGGAGCCCTTCCCGCTTCTGGGACCCCCTCGCGGGGTGGGCACCTGCCCGAGCGAGGAGCCAGGCTGCCTGGACATCAGCGATTTCGGCTGCCAGCTGTCCTCTTGTCATCGCACGGATCCACTCCACCGCTTCCACACCAACAGGTATGAACCGTCCCTGAGGGCAGGGGCGAACTGCCCACACCCCTGCCTCAAACGGGAGAACGCTGGGTCGCTCCCAAACCTGGCGCTCCGCCTCGGGTCTGCGCTTCTATTCGTCCCCTCCCCCACCTTCCTCCGACCAGTGCTCCTTCCCTGTCCCCCTCCCTATTTTCACCCCTGCCCTCCGATTTTCCTTTCGGCCGGCATTTTACTTGCTCCCTTTTCCCCATTCATCTTTTGGACCAGAGTGATGCCTGCCTTTCCCCTCCTACCTCATCTGTGCCCGGAGAATCTCAAATCTGCACCCTCAATTTTAAGATGCATCCCTGTTTCCATCCACCTGAAAAAGTTTAACCCCTTCCATTTTCCATACGTTCTAGAGTAGATTTCGGATGACTCAAAAACCAGTCTGTGGTTCTTTTGAAAGATGGCACTTTTAAAGCTAGAATCTTCCTTTTCCCGATTTTTAATCTGCCTCACAGCCCCATTTCCACTCCCACCCCAATTTTTTTTTCGTGAAGCTCTAGGAAACCAGACGGTCCTCCTCCCGCCCCCCTCCCCCCCCATGAACTCTTTGCTTTACCGCTTTAGGCCCTGCCAAAATGTATAAGCTTAGATCTGGAAGGTTCCTTCATGTAGCTTATCCCTTGGTTTGCTCCCCCAGTGGAGGGATGGAGCTAAGCTTAGGATGGGCTTGCTTATACAAATTTACTCAGAGGGTGCATTTCCTAACCGATTTTATTGGAAGCTAGAGTGTTCTGGAGAATTCTCTCATGCAAGCATTTGAGTGTTATGGGGGATGTGAAGATGTACACATAGCCCCAACCTATAATATAGGTGGATATTTGAGAGATATATACCAAGGCCTGGGAGGGTGTGTGGAGAACAAGCGAGGAGATGGGTTTAACTATGGAAAATATTGGCATTGAATTAAGGAGTTTGGTTCTGATTTCTGGTCCACAATATGAGCATGAACAAATCCTTCCACATTTTAATGTCTTTTGCATGCCCTCCCCCACCTCTTAAATCAGTCTACAGTTATACTGAGCTTCTGCCAGGTACAAGGAGTGTATAAAACATCATTCTTCCCTAAAAGAAAGTTAGAGTCTGGAAACGAGGTGTTATAGTTAAATAGAAGATCAGCATAACACATTTGAAAAGGAAGTGGTAGTAAATTTGTTACGACTTTTCCAAATCTTCATTGCAAAAATGAGGAAACTGAGGCCCAGAGAGGAAAGACTAAGTTCAAGGTCATAAAACTGAGTTAGGCAAAGCCAAGATTACTTTGGAGCCAGTGATGAAACTTGGAACAGAACTAATGGCTCAGATGTTATAAATGGTTGTTATAGTTTCTTAGACTGACTCGGAGAAGCTTACTTAACCCATGATGTGATTTTAACATGAGTGTAATGTATTTATGAAATCAAGTGTGCTTAGGATTGTTTGCATTGGAAAACAATATGAAAGACTACTTTTGCACATATTTGGTATTTAAGTTTTACAGCATTGGAGCAAGTCCTATAAACAGGAAAGTGAAATGATTTCAGAATTAACCTGCTCTGATGATGAGGGCAAGGGAGTGGGAAAAGAGACTAAGGGTAAGCACTGCCAAAATTGGTAGGGTGATGAAGAGTGAAGCAAGGAGAATACATTTCTTACAGCTTGTTCTGTTCCTTTTTCTTGTTTCAATTTTTCTCTTGTGTTTTTCTATTCCTTTTCTTAGAGACCGAGATAAGGCCAAGGTTGTTTTCCAGAATGGGGCAGTTAAGATAGAGGAGGTTCCTGTTCAGCCCCAGTTTTCCCAAGTGAAACATTTTGCCTGCTTTTTAAAAACCTCCATCTCCTACCCTACTTTTCCGAAGGCTTGGAATGGCACTAGGATGTCTAATGTATTTTGATTTGTACCCTTTTCAACAGAGATTAGGGCAAACAGAAGTAGCGATATTTACATCAAATGATGTTTCTGCCCTAGGCTACCTTGCTTTTTAAATTTTTTTTTTTAGATTTTATTTATTTATTTGAGAGAGACAGATAGTGAGAGAGAGCACAAGTGGGGAGGAGAGGAAGAAGCAGGCTCCCCGCAGAGCAAGGAGCCTGATGCGGGACTCGATCCCAGGACCCTGAGATCATGACCTGAGCCGAAGGTAGACATCCAACCAACTGAGCCACCCAGGTGCCCCTACCTTGCTTTTTAAATCTTTTCTCATTCTGGAATGTTCTTCCTTCCTGCCCCTCCTCAAGGTGGCATTTGAGAGGACCATATACTTCCAGTCAGTCCTTTTCAGGGAGAAGCAAACAGCTAAGTCATGTATGCAGGCAAAGTTTAGTTTACAGAATTCTTTTATTTTGGATTTGCACGTGTCACATCTTTTCTTCACATCACCAGTTCAAGCAGCAATTCAAAAATCAGATCTCCATACTTGAGTATTGATGTTCTGCTTTGGGTTTAGTCATTATAAAACATGTTTTATTGGAAATAAAAAGCTTGTCAGTTGGTAAATACTTGGTTTACCTTTATTTTGCGTCTTCCTTGTTACCTGATAAGAAAACTATGGAGATTATTTAATGCCATTGATAAGAGCCTTATGATGATGGCAGTTTTGTGCCTGCTCATTTACTGGACTCTGGGCTCTATTTGTAATCTTCCTTAACCAGGGGGCTCAGGGCACTATTAATTTCTGATCCCTAAGTTTGAATGTTTATAGTGTTCATATTAGAGTCACCTGTGACTGAGGTTGGCATGTCACTACTCTAGGTTCAGTGGAAAATTACATGAACACAACCACTTTCCTAAGAATTCACACGTTCCTAGGAGTATCTTTTAGGATTTTATGACCGAGTTGGGTTTGTCTGGAAGTTTGGTAGAATAAAATAAATTTCAATAAACTAAGAAACTTAATTATATTTTTAAAGATGTATTTATTTGAGAAAGAGTGCACATGTGCGAGAGGGGGCAGGGGCAGAATGAGAGAGAAGAGAGAGAATCTCAAGTGGACTCTGTGCTGAACCGGATGCGGGGCTTCATCTCAACCTGAGATCATGACCTGAGCCAAAACCAAGAGTTGGACACTTAACCGACTGAGCCACCCAGGCACCCCAATTATTTTTTAACTTAAATGTATATATGGAATATATGTGGTGTTTAAGACATTTTTCTTTGGTTTTGGCACAGGATGTTTCTGATGTAATTGTGGGTTTTCTTTTAGCATTTGTCCATGGCAGCCTCCACCATTATCAAAAAGGGAAGTCATTTACCAAATTGAAAAAATTATAATGATATTGGTAAGTTCTATAATTAAATTGTGAGATGAAGGAGGTTAATACGAACTACTCGATGTGTTATTATCTTCATCTTTTAGTAGTACATCAGTACTTTGACACTGAACAATTGTGAAAAGTATGTGAGAGGACAGTGTCTCACTTTTGTTCACCCTATTGGCAGGATAGGAAATGAACTATTGTATAAAGCAGTTACTCGGTTATGTGATTTTAGAACCCTATTTCAATCATTGTTAACTAGAAGAACCCCAAGACTACTATGTACCTTTTGTACTACCCACAGTTTTCCTATCTCAATATAGAATTAACACTTGCAGCAGAGCTGTGAGTTACAGGTGGGAGAACCATGGTCCGTGAAGTAACATTATAGAGGCAGGAAGAATTTGGTTTGGGGACTTGTTGAGACAAATTGAGAATGGGGATCAGGCTTGGGAGAGCTATCCAGCCTAATGTGGATTTGGGAGCATTCAGAATGGGAAGAACAGTAGAATAGTAACGTGTTAGGGGTAGAACTGTGGGTTACAAGGGTTGAGAGAAGAAACTTTTCAATAAATTTAGCAGGGAAAGGAAGGAGAAGAGATGTGGTAATAATTTGAAAAAAAAAAAAGGTGAAGGTTTCGTTGTTGTTGTTTGTTTGCCTTGTTTAGTTTTTCTTTTCCAAGAATAGATATTTTTAGCTCCTTAGAAGTAGCCCACAGGAAAGGGAGAAACTGAAAATATGAGAGAGTGTGGGATGACAGGAGATGGCTGGGATGAACTCAGAACACGAATGGAATATTTATTCTTAGAAATGACATGGAATGTTTTTTACTTCCAAGACTATAGAGAGGGTAAGAGGGATGGATAATGATACCAAGACAATTGAGATCACTAGGAGGAGAGTTGGGAATTTGAGTAGAGTGGGGGGATTGTGTCATCTTCTCTAACTTGGGACCTTGATGGCCTACTGTGCTCCAAAATTGTAGCAGAGGTGGAGGGGTGGCTATATGCGGGTTTTGGCAGATAAGCTTTGCAGATAAATGTTCTTGGCTTTACTTTTTTTAAATTAAAATTTGGGCAGCAAGCCTAGTTATTGCATTAAACTCCATTTCATTAGGATTCTTTTCAACATTTTTCTTTTAAGGTAGAAAGTCTCCTTTGTCAATAATTTTACGGTTATAGCTAGGATCTTAGCGTTAGGTAGCTTTCTCCTACTGGAATAAGATGTAAGGACTTTGTAGATTTGAATAGTTCAGTGCTGAGCACATTTACACAGTGGTCATTCATTACACATTTGAAACCAACGGAACAGTCTAAAAGAATCACACTTAAATTTTTATTACAAAAGCTCACTTTAGAAATTGGCATATACAAAACTGTAAAGATCACTCATGATCCCTTTCAGTAAAGATGACAACAGTCAGCATTTTGATGTTGTTACTTTTAATGTTCTTTTTATGTTCATATGTAATTTTTAAAAATCAGGATATATAATTTGGCCAGGTTTTTACACTTACATTGTGAGTGTTTTTCTTTTCAAAAAATAGTCTGAAAATATAATTTTTAGTTTTTTTATTTTTTAAGATTTTATTTATTTGAGAGAGAGATAGCAAGTGAGAGAGAGCACAAGCTGGGGCAGGGCGGGGGGCGGGGGGAGAAGCAGGCTCTTTTCTTTTTGTTGGCTATTACAAATGATATTGTTTGGACATACATTTTTTCCCAATTTCTATTTGGGGAAGTGATAGATTCCTGAAAAGGCAATTACTGAGTCCAAAGGAATGAACTTTTTTGAAGCTCTTGATATATATACAGTAGCAAATTGCTTTTCAGGAAGATTATGCTAATTTAACACTCTCACCAGCAATGAATAAAAGTACTACCTATTTTGTTTTTGTTCAGATTGCCTTAAAGTAATAATAATATTTGGAAATTAGAAGATAATAGAATTTTTTTAAATCTCTAGTAGTAAAAATATTATTTTTCTGTTTTGTAAATGATTGGTTCCAAGTATGAACCCAGTATTTTTTACCACTGTTAATTGAAAAAAAAAAGAAAAAAGAGCAAAAGCTTCTAAGAATACCCAGAATCCTGTTAAATCTGTTAGAAAGTCATGGACCTAGAAAACTGAGAAACATACTGATTTTGCCCTACATTAAGAGCACAAAACCAAGCAAATTCCTGGCTTGTCCGTGATCTAACCATTAGGTTATTAAATCTAGCATAGTTTTTTGAAAAGGAAAGTCATTATTATTCACGGAGGGAAATACATTTCTACTGAATTTTTGCAAGCTCAGAAAAAAGTTCTCATTAAAAAAAATTACCTAACAGCTTTTCCTACCACATAACACAGTACTTGGCCCATAGAAGATACTGTTTGTTGAGTGGGTGAATGAATAAAGATTGAAAAAGCTCACATGCAATTTAAAGACACAAAAGAAAAAACAGTTTGCCCAGAATATGGCATAGATAATGGTTTACTAAGTCTAGGAGAGTGATTGCGATTTTTTAGCTTTTATATTGTCTTATTGTACATCCAGAACAATTTGGTTAATTCTACTAGGTTTGTTGATTTTTTAAAAAATGAGGATACTGCCTACCTAGTAAGCATGTGATGAAACTAGGTAATATTACAAGGTATTCTAAGATGTTAGATGAATTTTAGATTTTTGCCTATTTATAAAAGCTTGTTGACATCTGTATTGATGGTTACTGAACCATAATAGTTTAGAGAGTGTGTGTCTGTGTGTGTTTTGATCCTTTAAAATATTCTACGTTTAGGGCACCTGGGTGGCTCAGTCGGTTAAGCGACTGCCTTCGGCTCAGGTCATGATCCTGGAGTCCCGGGATCGAGTCCCACATCGGGCTCCCTGCTCGGCAGGGAGTCTGCTTCACCCTCTGACCCTCCTCCCTCTCATGCTCTCTGTCTCTCATTCTCTCTCTCTCAAATAAATAAATAAAATCTTTAAAAAATAAAATAAAATAAAATATTCTACGTTTAGCTAAAGGAAAAAGTGCCATAAAATTGTCAGATTGCCCAAATTTTGTATATCAAGAACTTTGAAATTAAGATTAATAATACAAAATAAGGGGGGAGTTAAAAAATGAAAAACATGGTTCAAGAAAAAAATGGGTTTAATGAATGATGAGAAACAACCTAATAATAGGTAAGTAACAGGCTTTTCTTCAGGAAGTCATTATTTCAGTATCTTATTAGTATCGGATATACTAAATCATTATCTTAAGGATTAATTCCCTAGGCTACTGCCTAAGCAATGAAGATTATCTTGTTAACAGTATGAAGCTAGTGGAAATTTACAAAAGAAAATAGATTTGTAGATTTCAAGAAAAAAGTAACCCTGCAACAAATACCACAGGCAAAATGTTAATATTCTTAATGCATCAAGAACTCATAGAATCAGTAAGGAAAACATTAACACATAGAAAAACACTAGAGCAAAATAGCTAATTAATATTTTAAAATTTGATCTTGGCAGTATTTGAAGAAATAAAAATTGATATAAAAAAATTTTTTTTTCGGGACGCCTGGGTGGCTCAATTAAGCGTCTGCCTTCAGCTCAGGTCATGATCCAAGGTCCTGGGATCAAGTTCCGCGTCGGGCTCCTTGCTCAGTGGGGAGCCTGCTTCTTCCTCTGCCTGCCACTCCCCCTGCTTGTGCTCTTTCTCTCTCTCTCTCTGACAAATAAATAAAATCTTTTTAAAAAATGGTTTTTTTCCCCATCAGATAGGTCAAACTTTAAAAATGAAAATTCCAGGGGCGCCTGGGTGGCTCAGTCGTTAAGCGTCTGCCTTCGGCTCAGGTCATGGTCCCGGGATCCTGGGATCGAGCCCCTCATCAGGCTCCCTGCTCAGCGGGAAGCCTGCTTCTCCCTCTCCCACTCCCCCTGCTTGTGTTCCCTCTCTCACTGTCTCTCTCTCTCTGTCAAATAAATAAAACCTTAAAAAAAAAAAAAGAAAATTCTAGTGCTGTTAAGGTTGTGGTGAAATGAGCATGTTTTATATACTGCTTTGGGGAGTGTAAATTGGTGCAGCCTTTCAGAAAGTCATTTGACTAAGTATGATATGACCTTGAGAAGTGTTCATATTCTTTGACTTAGTACTTTCCTTTCAAGTAATCTATCTTGAAAGATTATGTGTTTTGTTTTGTTTTTTTAGTCTTTTATTAAATTAATAATAAATTAAAAAGTCTCATGATCTATTTGACCTTCTTCCTTCAATAATACTTAGGCTGTTTCCATTTTTTTTGGTATTACAAATAATACTGAGACGAACCTTTCTAATTCTAATTATTTATCAAAATACATGAACCCTGCGATCATGACCTGAACCGAAGGCAGATGCTTAACTGACTGAGCCACCCAGGCAGCCCTAGATACAATTTTCTTTTAAAATATTTTATTATAAAAAATTTCAGACAAATACAAGAGTAAAGGGAATAGTGTAATGAGCGTCATATATCCATCACCCAGCTTCAACAATTATTCACATATGGCAATGTGTTTTATAGCATTACTTGTTCCTCAAACCCTTATTATTTTGTGAAAAATCCCAAATATATTTCATTTATAAATGTTTTAGTATACATCTTTAAAAGATAAGGGCTCTTTTGAAAATAATCACAATATCATTGTCATACCTAAAAATATATTTACATTCTTCATAAGTGTCTTGAATGTATCTCCTATGAATATCTTAAAATTGTGTGGCTTCTGGAGTTCCTGTTGTGATTTCTTTTGTGTTGTGTTTTTAAGGTGGAACTTAACTTCTTGTGGAACAAGTGTTGCCAGCTCAGAATGCAGTGAGGAGCTATTTTCATCAGTTTCTGTTGGCGATCAAGATGATTGCTATTCACTGTTAGATGACCAAGACTTCACTTCTTTTGATTTATTCCCTGAGGGGAGTGTCTGCAGTGATGTCTCTTCTTCTATTAGCACATACTGGGATTGGTCAGATAGTGAGTTTGAATGGCAGGTAGGTTTGGTTTTTTTTTTTTTCCCCCTTATATTACCATCATTACTCCATAAATAGAATAATGAATTTCTGTTTTGATATTTTCATCTCTGACAACATTAAGAATTAGATGGAATATGTATCCTTTATTTTTGCTGATGTACCATTTAGGCTTCTGATGCTACAGATACCTTTTTGTGGATTTTCATGTAATTTAATACTTGTATAATGTTCTCATTATTATATATTATCAGTACTTTTCTATGCATGAATCCAAGCAAATGTATTCTTCCTACATTATAGTAAATAGCCTTTGTGTCCTTACAGGCACAATATCCTTGCATCGGTTATGTTCTATATATCTAAGATCACAAACCATTGTTATCATAAAAACATAATTTTTGGTTCTGTTGTCAGAAATATAACAATTTCTCATTTTGTAATCTCTTCATATGTAGAGATGTTTTTTTGCCCTACAGTGTTTGTGTGTGTGTGTGTGTGTGTGTGTGTAGCATATATACCATGTAAAATGGCTTTGTGGCAAATTGTTTGGGAATTCTGCCATATAATGAGTGCAGTCTATCAGAAAATGTAAATCATGTTATTGCAACCCATTTTCTGATTGTAAAAGACAGTAGCATTTGAGGAAGCTTTCCTTGCATAAAGCAAATGTTATATTCAACAGATACTTGAGTGCCTGCTATGTTTGAAAGCCATCCAAATCTTTGAATTTATATTCCAAAAGAGGAATCAAATATTATTTTATTTCAAACATTTTCTTATTAAAATATGAAAACAGACTGGCATGAAGTTAAAGATAATTCTCCAAATCCCACTCTGCTGTGGTTACCATTGTAAGAGCTTGTGTAGATACAAGTATGTTTGCACAGTGTTAAAAACACACAAATGGGATCATACTTCAGCCACTGTTTGGCCCTTTGCTTTTTTTCAACTAATATCTCATTCTTTTCTATAGCTGTGTCATAATTTATTTAATCTGTTCCCTAATAATGGATATTTAGATTGGTTTCAGTTTTTTTTTTGTTATAAAAATGCGACACTTAGGAGTTTTTAAAGAGGAAAAAATAATCTAAAACCCCTCTTTTTATATTATTTCAGATGTTTCTATTTTATGTACAGTTGTAAATATGATTTGCATAAAAATTATAAAATATTTTCAGCTTTTAAAAAATTGAGATAAAATTTGCCATTTTAATAATTTTAAAGTGTATAATTCAGTGATTTTTTATTCACAGTGTTGTACAGCCATCACGACTGTCTAACTCAGGAACATTTCCATCACTTTAAAAAGAAATCCATACCTGTTAGCAGATAATCCCAATTCCCCCCTGCCCCCATCACCTGGCATCCACTAATCTACTTTCTCTATGGATGTGCCTTCCTGGACATTTCATAAAAATGTACTCATATAATATGTGGCCTTTGTGTCTGGTTGCTTTTACTTGGCATGTTTTCAAGATTCATCCATGTTGTAGTGTGTGACAGTACTTCATTTCTGTCTTAGCTCAAACTGCTATAACAAATATCATAGACTGGGTGGCTTAAACAACAAACATTTATTTCTCACAATTCTGGAGGCTGAAAGTCTAAGGTCAGAATGCCATCGTGGTCGGGTTCTGGTGAGGATCCTCTTCCTGGTTTGCATATGGCTGCCTTTTGCTTTATCTTCACATGGAGAAGGGAGAGAGAGCTGTGGTCTCTTCATCCCCTTATAATTATGGTTACCAATCCCATTATGGGGGCTCTACCCTCATGTAAATGTAATTATCACCCAAAGCCCTACCCCCAGATCCTCCTAATTGGGGATTAGGGCTTCAAGATAGGGATTTGGTGGTGGTGGTGAAGGGAGGGTGCACACATTCAGCCCACACCAATTCCTTTTCATTCCTGAATAGATATGGACACATCACATTTTGTTTATCCATTCATCTGCTGATGGGTGGTTTCCAGTTTGGGGCTTTTATGAATATACTGCTGTGAACATTCAGATATAAGTTTTTATATGGATGTATCTTTTTTATTATTGAAGTATAGTTGACATATTATGGATGTATATTTGTAATTCCCTTGCGCACACACTTAGGAGTGGAATTGCTGGGTCATGTGATAACTTTATGTTTAACTTTTTGAGGAACTGCCAAAATGTTTTCCTAAGTGGCTGTACCATTTTACATTTCCACCAGCAATATATGAAATTTCTAATTTCTCCATATCCTTGCCAAACCTTGGTATTGTCTGTCTTTTTGATTATAACCATCCTACTTTGTATAAAGGGGTATTTCATTTTGGTTTTAATTTGCATTTCCCTAATGACTAATGATGTTGAGCATCTTTTCATATGCTTACTTTTCATTGATTGGTATTCTTTTTTGGAAGAAGGTCTGTTCAAATCCTTTGCCCATTTTTAAATTGTATTGTCTTTTATTGTTGCATTGTAAGAGTTTTTTATATGTTATGGCTACTAGATCCTTATACATGACTTACAAAAGATCTTTCCCTTCCTGTGGGTTGTCTTTTTACTTGATACTGTCCTTTGACACACAAAAGGTTTTAATTTTAGTAAAGTTCAATTTATTTTTTTCTTTGAATACTGTGCTTATTATGTCATATTTTAAAATACCATTGCTTAATCCAAGGTCGTGCAGATTTTCACCTGTTTCCTTCTTAAAGAGTTTTACAGTTTAAGTTTTTACATCTAGTCTTTGATCCATTTTGAGTTCCTTTTTGTATATGGGATACAAATACAAATGTATAAGGGGTACAAATTCATTCTTTTGCATGTAGATATTCAGTTGTCCCAACACCGTTTGTTGAAAAGACTATATTCTTTGCTTATTGAATGGTCTTGGTACCCTTGTGGAAATGAATTGGTCATAGATGTGTAGGTTTAGTTCTGGGCTGTCAGTTCTATCCCATTAACATATATGTCTATCCTTATGCCAGTACCACACTGTTTTAATTGCTCTAGCTTTGTAGTAAAGTTTGAAGTCAGGAAGCATGAGGTTCTTTGTTCTTCTTTATTAAGATTGTTTTGGCTATTGGGGATCCCTTCTGCAATTCCACATGAATTTTAGGATCAGGTTGTCCATTTCTGCAAAAAGGGCGGTTGGAATTTTGGTAGGGATTGCATTGAATCTGTTATTTTTGTGTCCAAGCCTTGTACTTCCTTGCTTCAATTTATTCCTACATATTTTATTCCTTTGATGCTGGTGAAAATGTAATTGTTTTCTTAATTTCATTTTTGCATTGTTCGTTGTTAGGGTATAGAAATAAAACTGATTTTTGTATATTGATTTTGTATTCTACCACTTTGCTGAACTCATTTGTTGGCTTAAGTGATTATTTTTTTCTGTGTGGATTCTTTAGAGTTTCTATGTTTAAAATCTTGTCATTTGTGAATAGAGATAGGTTTTCTTCTTCCTTTCTAGTCTGGGTAGCTCTTTTTTTCCTTGCTTAATTGCCCTAGCTAGATCGCCAGTGCAGTGTTGAATAGAAGTTGCAAAAATGGGCATCCTTGTCTTTTCTGATCTTAAGAGAGAAGCTTTCAGTCTTTCACCATTGAGCATAATGGTAGCTGTAGGTTTTTCATAAATGCCCTTTATCATATTAAGGAATTTCCCTTCTCTTCCTAGTTTGTTCAGTGTTTTTATCTGAAAGAACTATTTAGATTTTGTCAAAATGCTTTTTCTGCCTTTATTGAGATGATCATGCAATTTTTTCCCTTCATTCTATTAGTATGATGTACTACATTGATTTTTGTATGTTGTGATCCACCCTTGCATTCCTGGAATAAATCTAAATTGGTCATGGTACATATTCGTTTTAATATGCTGCTGGATTTCATTTTGCTGAGAATTTTTGCATCTGCATTCATAAGGGATATTGGTCTGTAGTTTTCTTGTGATATCTTTGTATTGCTTTGGCCTCATAGAATGGGTTAGGAAGTATTCCCTTCTCTTCTGGATAACATACTGTAATACAGTTTCCCATTTAACATATAAACTTTTTCATGATCTTCATAATGACTCTTTTAATGACTATATAATATTCCTGGTACTATAATATTTCTGGTGCCAGAACTTGTGAGACCATTCCTTTTACATCTGTTTCAAAATTTTTTCTACTATTGGTAACACAGCAGTAAACATCTTTGTGTGAGTACCTTTTTATTCTGTGCTTCATTTTTTAAGTGCACACTTTGTATTTAAAATCAGACTACTATAAGGATTCTTAATAAAGTATAATCGGATGGAGTTCTGATAATTCTGAGAATTATTTTTTCTGATTATTTGATTTAGAGTTTTTATCCATAATGTTGCAAAGTGGCAGGTGTTTTTGAATTTTAATTGCTGACTTCACTCATTTCATGAGTAGAGTGGAAAACTATCCCCAACTACTCACTAAAAATGTACATGGCTGACTAGAACATTGGAACAAAAAGGAGGCCTGCCTTAGCAGTGTGTTTCCCTACTTCTGAAAGTGGAGTGTGGGTAATCTGTTACCATGGATGTTTGCTATTTAAATATTCTGAAAGGTTTAAAATGCTCTCTTGTCTTTGTGGGACCTTGTAATGATGAGCAGTAAATTATCCAAGAAGATAATTATAAATTATGTGTTGGGATTAATATAGATTAAAATCGTTAACTATAACTTAAAAATTCCTGTTACCTCTGTTGTGATTAAAAACTACATTTGTTTAAATCTTTTTAACAGATGTTTCAGTTACTACATCAGTTGTTACAGAAATGAGCTTACTCATAAAATTTTGCTGCATACTGCAGAAAATATGGCAGAGGTTTGATTTAATTCTCCCTACTTGTCACAGTTACTGATTATAATATAAATATACTAAATATTGTCCATGAAAAATACAGAATAAGAATTATTAAGCATTTTTAGCTTGAGATATAAAATGGAAAATTGCTTGTCTAATAAATATAAAGGAGCTCATACAGTTAATTCTGATGTACATCTGCAGCTCTAATCCCATATCTCCAATTGACTACTTGACATTTCCACTTGGATGACCTTATTATTTAATGTACCTATTATCTGATGCCAAGTCCTTGATCAGTAGTGTAACTTCCAATTACAGTGTTTCCATGGGAAAAAAATAGACTCCGCTTTGTGACATGTCTTACAGTGTAGTGAAAAATGACTATTGTCATTTTGAAGGACATTTGCACTTGCTTCTTTCATTATCACTACAAACTTTCCATATTCCAAATTGCCTTCTTCTCTCATTCCAAACTACCTGCAAGGCAAGACAGCCCAGCATAGTTGAAAGCACCAGACTTGTGTCCCACTTTGGATACTGGCACTAGCCATATGACCCTCCCTAGACATTATTTTTCCTTATTTGTAAAATGAGGGTGTTGGACTAGAAGATCTATAATATTGCCTCAGGTCTCTTGCTATAAAAAATTGAGGTCTTTTAAGTGCATTACCCTGGATGGGTTGTATGACTGTGAAATGTGGCTAATTTTCTTCTGGTTTCAACAAATGGTCATCTATCATCCATTCAGTTGTCAAACATCTGGCTGTCTCAGTCAGAAAAACATGTGACTCTTGATCCCAGAGTTGTGAGTTTGAGCACCATGTTGTGTGTAGAGATGACTTAAAAATAAAATCTTAAAAACAGCCTTGTGAATTGTTTTTCATTTGAAATTCTCCCTGTTTATTCCCATTTTTCTTTGCATTTTTATCTTAGTCCAGGTCTAGATCAAATAAGAACTTCCTGTCTGATTGTAGTCCTTCCTCACTCTGTTTTGTCCCTGTACTGCTTTTTAACTCATCTTCCCTCAAGACTAGTTTCATCAAGTTACTTCTACTTAAAAAATGTTACTGGCCTACTTCTGCATATCATATAACAGCTTGTTCATCCATTGAGCTTTCAATTCCATAGCACTGATTTTCTGTTGTTTTTTTTTAAGATTTTATTTATTTGAGAGTGAGAGAGAGCATGAGAGTGGGGTGAGGGGCAGAGGGAAAAGCAGACTCCCCACTGAGCAGGGAGCCCAGACGCAGGGCTGATCCCAGGACCCTGGGATCATGACCTGAGCCGAAGGCAGACGCTTAACCAGCTGAGCCACCCAGATGCCCCTCATTTCCTTTTTAATTATATTAGTCTCCTTATCCTCATCCTATTTTTTTTTTTAATCTGTGGTTTTACCAAGTTGTTCTTCTTACTTGAATGCCTTCTCCTTTTCCCCATTCTGTGATTCTGAGAGTACCTTGTGAAACTTCACCCACTTTAGCAACATGTGGCATTCTCTGATGGCTTATACTACCTTTTATAAGGGTACAAAACCATGGAAAGAGATGGAAAAAGGAAGACACATTTGTTTATTGAGGGTTGCCTTGTGCCAGGCCTATCACCTCATGTAAATTTCTCAACAATCCTTTGAGATGGGTGGCATTAACCATAACTCTGGGGCTCAAAGAAGCAAACTAACCTCCACAAGATCACATGGCTAGCGAGCAGCAGAACTGGGATTTGAACTCTGGCATCTTTTTACTTCTCCCTGAAAAAAAAAATAGCTGAAGAACCACTAGTTGCCTTCTTTATCCCACCCTCCACCCCCCACCCCCAGCAAACACATAAATAGAACCAAAGGCACAAATTTAAGTGCTTAACATATAGTCTGTTACCTAGCAGATGTTCACTAAAGATTTAGATGGAAATTGTTCTTAAATTTTGAGAGTATACATATTTTGATAGTTCCTTTACCTAATACATCAGAGGAGCTTGAAGTAGGGGAGGCCTTTCATCCGATAAGGACTGTTTCATTTTGTTTTAGGAACCCCAGGGAGATCTTTAATGTAGTAGTGTTGTGATTTGAAGTCTTTCAAAGGGAAAATAGCAAAACATTTTCTTTTTTGACATTAAAGACTGAAAAAATGGCCTTCATCTATGCATTCAGGATTCATTCTTTCATGACACTGACTAGGTAACATCAAAGCTAAGGGTGAATGAACAATTCAAGCAGTGTTAGTTAATGAGATTTTAATGGAAGTCATACAAATTGTTGGTAGTCATTTATGTACTTAGACTCATCAGTGACTGTTAAAATGAAAATGTGGTTTTTAACAGTAGTAGCTAACTTAGACAATTTCATTCTAAGCATCATGGTCACCTTGCATGGTGATCAACCCCATTTTTGTATCTTCGTTTATCTCTTCTGTGCAGCTGACTCCCCATTGCCTGTCCCCTTGTAGCTCTCCTAAGCTTTAATCCTGCAGCTTTAACTCACTGCTAGATATTTCTATTGATGACCTGTCATTTCAAACCTAGCATTTGTCATTTGCTATTTTGTATAATTGTATGTTTGTGTTATAATATTATCTTCCCCAGTAGAGTATAAAGTTTTTGTATAAGGACCATGACTTAAAATCCTTTGAATCCCCTGTACCTATTAGAGTGCTCCAGGTATAGTAGGAGGCCAGATGTGTGTGATTGCAATAATCTTCGTGGCAAAAGTAGCTTTTCTCTTTTGGTAACCTCAAAAGCCTAGTAATCTTCCAGAGTTCAGATGCAATTGCAAAGGACAACAGCAACAAAAAGGTGATATTTTGTACCTTGTAAAAATGAAAGCATTATCTTTGAAAATTACGTACTCCTTGTAGAAGAAATCATCTTTCTGGTGAATGACTTAAATTTATTTATTTGTTTATTTTTAAAAGTTTTATTTATTTAAGTATCTCTCTATACCCAATGTGGGACTCAAACTCATGACCCCAAGATCAAATGTTGCATGTTCTTCCAACTGAGCCAGCCAGGTGTCCCTAAACACATTTATTTAAAATTAAAACCATTCTGACTTTTGGAGGTGATCTATTTATTACCCTGATTGTGGTGATGGTTTCATGGGCATATGCTTATGTCCAAAGTCCTCAAATTATATGTATTAGATATGTACTATTCTTTGTATCACTTATGACTCAAGATAGCTGTTAAAAAATGAAATCCATTCTATTTTTATTAGGCAGTATAAAATTATAGCACATTTTTTTTTGGTGTGCATCTCACTTTAAAATGATTTTCTGTGTATTAGGCTTGCTTGCTTTTCTCCTTTGTCTACACATTGTCTCAGCATTTTTCTAATTTTTCTTTTATAATGCTTCTGTTTTTAAAGTGTTTTGCTCTATATTAACAGCATATTTTAAATTATTTTAATTGCCTTGTGGTTAATACTGACTTGAGCACAAGGACCATGGCTTATTTGTCTCATATTGACGGTATATCCAGCATAGTGTTAGGCAAACAGCCAGGTAATGGCAGATGAGTCCTGTCTCCTGAGATAGAGACCAGTGTTCCTTATTCATCATGCTGTGTGAGCCCTAGCCTACATTCACACTGTGAATTAAAAACCCTAATGATGATTGACTCTTAAGTTAGCATTTTATTAACAAGTCTTGATTATGATTTTCAGCTTTTGGAAAGTATCTCATTGAGTAAGTGACTGTATACAAAGAATATGTTGATGTTGCTGCTTTGTCTAAAATAGGAGTGATTCAGAATTAATGTCTTCTCATTCTGTATTTGTCATTAAAAAGTAATTTTTAATCAGTATGAAATATGTTGTATTTAAAATGTATTTTTGAAAAATTTTGCTTTTCCTACCCCCTTCTTATTTTTATAAAGTTACCAGGCAGTGACATTGCCAGTGGGAGTGATGTACTTTCTGATGTCATACCCAGTATTCCCAGTTCACCTTGCCTGCTTCCTAAAAAGAAAAATAAGCACCGGAATTTAGATGAACTTCCTTGGAGTGCAATGACAAACGATGAGCAGGTAGGGATCTTGACGTTCTTAATTGAAAGCATATACGTAGAGACTATGTGAAACTCAGTGTATTGCCTGTTTAAAGCTACTGGGTAAATATGGATTGCTTAGTAAAATCTGAGTGGGAGCTTTAACTGTTTTGCAGGATCACCTATCATGTTAAGTGCTTTTGATATTTGAAACACATTATAAATGACACACTAAAATATCAGAGGTTTTGGCATTGATCTTGTTTATTATAATTTTTCATCGCATAGGTGGAATATATTGAGTATCTGAGTCGTAAAGTCAGTACGGAGATGGGTCTTCGGGAGCAACTTGATATTATAAAAATAATTGATCCTTCTGCTCAAATTTCCCCTACAGACAGTGAGTTTATTATTGAACTTAACTGTCTCACAGATGAAAAACTGAAGCAGGTATGTAAAGAAAATACAGATTGTACAGCTATGAAGAAAACCATTATTTTATAGTATGTAGACTTGAATAATCATATTTTAAAATACACAAATAATTAAGGTCCAAATCACTGCTCTGAAATGTAATATTAGAAAAAATGATGGCAGTATTTGAGAGCAAATGGTTGTAAGGTTTTAGGTACATCTCACCTGGCAGTGCCTTTCTGGGATCATGTGGATCTAGAACCTCCTGTTTAGTTGTGTAGGCTTTGCAACTTAATTTTACCACTTAAGGGGTGGTTATGCTGTTTGTTTATTCTAACTCACCTTAAAAAAGAGTAATTGACAGAATCAAAATACTGATTATTGAGGGCTATCTATATTTGAGTGAACATCTGAATTGGGGGATTTGAGTAGTCTTATGGAGTAATTGAGCCTGGCTAGGGTAAAATGTAATTTTCCTTCTGCTATTCTGAAATACACATTTCTGGTATCTTCTAAATAGTCTGTACTGCTCTATTTTTTTTTTTTTTCGGTACATAGTTGAATGAATACTTATGTTCTCTTTTCATTTTTTAAGGGTTTTTTTTTTTGCCTTTATCATCACTTAAAATTTTTTTTATTTCACTATTTCTCTCAACAGACATACTATAATTTTCTACATTCCAGCTCATTTTTCATTAGTATTGAAATTGTGCCTTGCATTTGAAGACAGGTACCATGGGCCCCTAGCTAAGATTTAGAAAACACCCTAATCTTAGATATAATCAGCAACTCACTTAAATCATATTAAGACCTTTAAAAAATGCCTAATCTGATTTATTTTATTGTTAATTTCTGAGTGTTATTTTCTTTTTTTTTAAGACTATTTATTTGAGAGAGAGAGTAAGCCATGGGAGGGGCAGAGGGAGAAGGAGAAAGAGAAACCAGCAGACCACCTGCTCAGTGCAGAGCCCAACTCGGGGCTCGATATCATGACCCTGAGATCACGACCTGAGCTGAAACCAAGAGTTGGACACTTAACGGACTATGCCACCCAGGCTCCCCTAAGTGTTATTTTCTTAAAATCCTAAATTCTGGAGGCTTGTAGCCTTCCATTTGCTGATTATATTTTATATGTTTTTTTTAATTTTTTTTTAAGATT